CTTTAAATGATGGAATGATCTTATTAAATAGAATAATCGTAGAATATTTTCTGACTGACTAAATGACTGGTCCGCTCATTTCACCCTCCAGGTCAGCAGGTGGCGATGTTTTCTCCTCTTGATGGTTTTGCAGACGAGTCACATCCAACATGGCGGCCCAGAGAATAGCATGTTCAGGGTTAAGTGCTCTGTATTCCAGTGTTTGCGCTCCGCAGCAGGTAACCTACAACATATGACATGACATTTCACAGTGTATTGTGTTTTTTTTACTCTGGTGTCATCGCACAGCTACAGCAGAAAGAAAGAGAAGAAGGAACTCAGTGTGTTCTTGGTAGCTGTCTGACGTTAGCTTTGCAGCTAATGCTCAGTGAATCCTGTAGATATGAATAAAGAACTACCTGTTAGTTTAGTGCAACAGTCTGACTTAGTCTTAATCTGAACTGTGGTCTCAGGTTGTGTCTGTGGAAGCTTAGAGCCGCATTTAAGTCACATGTGGAGCGAACTGTCACTTGAACTCATCAGTCTCAGTTTGTTTTCTGTTTTCTGAAGCTGTGTGTGTGTGTGTGTGTGTGTGTGTGTGTGTGTGTGTGTGTGTCTGTCTGTCTGTCTGTCTGGTGCAGTTTCATGCTGTAGATCCAGTTATAAGTGTTAAGTGTGAGAGGTCATAGTTAGTGGAGTTGATATACTCTGTATTTAGTGGCGTTTATTCCTTTTTGTCCTTATATACAAATATAATCAGGACCGAGTATTAAACACAGTAATCCAATCCAGTATAATACTTCCTCTAACTATGAACTTGGTTTGTGAATATATAACTTAATGAACTTAAAAACTACGCCTCAAAAAGACTTCTAGAACAGTCTGTAACCAAGCTTTTCATACATTTTGTTGACCTTTCACTCACATGATATTAGTTGTCATTCCATAAAAACTGCTGGAACAATGTGTGCAGGCCCTGAGGAGCTGCTGGGGGGCGCTGGAGCAGGTGAGGGGTTACTATGTTAACTGGAGGATGCTGAGGGACGTCAAGAGGAGGCAGATGGCCTTCGACTACGCTGACGAGAGGCTACGTATCAACGCACTGAGGAAGAACACCATCCTACCCAAAGAGCTTCAGGTAAGAGTAACACACCAAACAAGTCATGTAGGATTGGAGGAAATACATCTGTGTAACTAGCTTGTGATAATGTATTATGTAATGTATGAGCACTTCAGGTCAGTTTATTTTAATGCTACCTTCAAATGACTATTTTTTGATTGATTTATGATAGGATACTGTCCTATTGATGATTTTTGTTGTATTATATCATTAATAAGAGATGAAATCCTACCCAGTTTGTCTGTCGTTGGTCAATTGAAAATATTTTTGCACATCTCAATATGGCTAAAATTTGCTAATTGTCACAACTGTGTCTTTTGTGCTTATTATGTGAGTTAAGTAATGAAATTCAAAGTTATTCCAATTAATTAAGAATACAAATAGGACTTACTTCAGTTTTAAAACCTTTGCAGGAGGTAGCAGATAAAGAAATTGCTGCACTGCCCAGAGACAGCTGCCCCGTGAGAATACGCAACAGGTGTGTGATGACTTCCAGGCCCCGCGGAGTGAGGCGGAGATGGCGACTGAGCCGCATCGTCTTCCGTCATCTAGCCGATCACAACCAAATGTCTGGGATTCTGAGGGCAAGATGGTGATCAGGAGCCATTAGACACATAAACTGGACCATAAAAAAAGAAGTGGTTATGTGGTTGTGATAAGCAGAACGATCGGCACTCAATACTGACTTGATTTTGACCTTTATTGTCTGGAGTCTATACAGGTATTGACAATAATAAAACAGTTCCACAACCTCCCACAAAAGCTTGGAAGGTGTTCAAAGGGGATCTTCTGAGGTTACTGCAGCTTGTTTTCAGTATTTTGTGCTGAAGAGGACGTGAATATTCCATTTCTTGAGATTGTTTGTTTCCTTCTGGCTCCCTATAAATATGAAAAAACAACAAAACATATTTAAAAGTAATGTCTATGTAACTTACTTTATCCTGAAATATTATTGGAGAATAAATATTGTTGCACATGAATAACTTTTTAGTGTCTTTATTGTACACGTTGATACAGAGATTAGAAATATCTTACTGTTATATAAAAAAATATCTAAAACCCACCTTTTCCTCCACCAGCAGCAAGAAAAAAGTTACCAATCAAAGGTGACTGACAAAAGCATCACCCAAAATTATGAGTCCTGTAATCGTGCAATCATAGTTGTTTTATTGTTCAGCCCTGTTTTTCACAGAATAATATTTAAAATCTGAATGCAGTATTTTCTATACATGTATGCATATATACACATATATACATTTATTATTCTCTTTGTATATAGTGTAAAGAGAAAAAACACCTTTGGAACTGTTGCTTAGCAGTTGGTTGTGGCAAAATTCAGTATCCTTTAAAAATGCATTAGTATAAATTAAGAAGTGCAGTAATACAATAAATACATGTACAAATATAGAAAATTTTCATCACAACATTTATTTATTTTACATGTATTTATCTATTGAATTATTGATTTTTCTTTCCTCCTTTCTTTTTTCTTTCTTCATTCTTGAATTTATTTAAACTTCTGTCTGTGTTGTCCTTCACACAAGTCTTCCTTCTGACGGATAATGAATTAATCAAGTAATAAAATAAACTACTTAAAAGATTCTTTCGTGGGGCTGTGTTTTATGTGTCACCACTTCAGTCCGGTAGGTGGCGGTCGTGTACTTACGGACAGGCTCGCCGACCACCAACAATCAAGAAGAAGAAGAGGCAACGCGGCGCTGCAGTGAGGAGAGGGTGTTTGTGCTAAGCTAACACAACCGAGAAGCTAAAATGGATTTAACTGAACAGGTAAGTTTCATAGTTTTATTTAACTCCATTTACAAACACACAGAGCAACAGACGGTTAGCTTTGTGAGCTGAGGTGTTGAATTAATGTCATAGTTCAGTCAACATTAGTTTACATAACTAGCCACCGCTAGCCGGCGGCAATGTAAAATAATGTTCATACTTAGTCTCTGGAAGTCTGAACGAAGACTACATTTATTTAAATTCACTTCTAATGCAGGTTCGCTGAGATGGTGACAGTACCTTGTGTTTGCCAGCAGCTAGCTAGCGAGCCAGCACACCGCTAGCCTTGACTGGAGTCAGAATGTTCTAGAAACGTAATGCTAACACCAGCTAATGTTAGCCGGCGTCAATGTGGCAGCAAAATGAAAGTGAGGACATTGTCTGAACTGTTATATGATGAGATCTTGAAGTATATCAGGTGACTGTGCAGAGGGACAGTGGATGGCGTTTAAGATCAGGGTGATCTATGGTCTGTACAAGGAGGCGATAATATACTGATGTAAAGCTAAAAGCCAAAGAAATTGTCTTTTACTATTGAGCTATCAGCATCATCAGTAATAAACACCTCTGTTCTCAAAAGACAGTCCTCATTTAGTGTTTGGATTGTGGTGGTGGTCTTAACACATCCAACCAAGGTGTTTGATTGAGTTGAGAGATGGTGACTGAAGGTTTTCATATTCATCAAACCATTCAGTGACATCCACATCTGCTGTTTTTCTACTCATTTATTCAGATTTTATAATAATACATTTTATTTATAAAGCGCTTTAACAATTCTCAAAGACTCTGTGTCACACACATTGTTGACCTGATTGGTTGCATTCTGGTCTTTTTGCAAGTGATAATAGTCCATGGACAATAAGAATGACCTGAAACTGTAGTTCCAGAATGTGCTTTTCTGATTGGTCTAATGTTTTCCCTCATGCAGATCAACCAGTTGGAGGCAGACTTGCTGGAGCTGGGTTCACTCTTGGAAAAATCAGACAGGAAACGAGTGCAGGAACTGTTAAAACAGGAGCAGAAGAAGGTGGAGAAGGAGCTTTCAGTTAAAAAACATCAAAAGGAGCAACAAGCCAGGAGACTAGCAGACCCATCTGCAGCCTCTAAAGCAGCGTACACAGTCAAGATCACCAACTATGGTATGATGTAATTGTTCACTCACTGAGGCTATCAGTCATTTATTAGTGTGTGTGTCTGTTTTCACAAAGTATTTGAAAGTTGTTCACAATTGTTCATCTTCTGTACAGCTTGGGACCAGTCAGAAAAATATGTAAAAATTTACCTTACACTGAAGGATGTGCACAAAATCCCATCAGAACAAGTGGAGGTCAACTTCACAGAAAGGTTAGATGATAACCAGCCTGTATGTATGATTGTACAATACATACATGATCGTTCAGCATTTATTGTTTAACATACAATTATAATTCTGCCTGTTGCAGGTCATTTTCTGTTCTGGTGAAGGATCTTGGTGGGAAAAACCATCAAATGACAATTCTCAATCTGTTATATCCAATCGATGAAAAGGAGAGCTGCAAAAAGGTGAAGAAAACCAATAAATGTGTTTAAAGGAATCATATTTAAATTTTTTGATATAAAGTGATACAAGTTATTGGATCTTGGTACAAACAAACTGAGGCAGTGAGTCTTGCAGTTGATCAGTTTATTTATAAGAGATGAATAAGCAGCATTAAATGATTCTAACTAAGTATGTCATTGTAAATCCTAATATTTTCCCAAAGGCTTCAGCCTTTCACAACAAAACATCATAAGCTAATTTGAACATTGTTCAGCCACTAGAGGGCAGAAAGTAGACAATATATAACAGCTAAACTATTGGCCAGATTGAAACAACATGGCCATCTTGTTGTCTCTTTTCTTGTCAACTGAGTTCAGTTTCAGTTTTAATTTTGCATATTGCTCTTGGATTTGTTCAGACAATTCCTGAAGAAAATATTCTAGTGTCTCTGTCTCTCTGAAAGGCCTTAAACAACTTTTATCTCCCTGCTACAGATAAAAACAGACATGGTCCTGGTCATGTGCAGGAAGCAGACAACGAAGAAGTGGGAGTGCCTAACGAAGGCGGAACAGCAGTCTAAAGAGAAAGAGTAAGCACAAAATAAATTCAGCTTTAAGCTCTTGTGATTTCAATTAATCTGGAATTTTAGTTGAGGTTAGGTTTCATCTATCCACTGGAAACAATGATCATTTTCACATCCACACTCAATCAATGAACAGTACTGTGTGTGCCACTGTTTATTAGGCATGGAATACATGTAAGTTGGGTGCAGACATGCAAACTGAGAATCCAAACAATTTAGATAAACTTGGACACATCCCTATTGCATTTCCTCATTGCTTCTCAACAGAAAACCCAGTATGGAGGAGAATGCAGACCCCAGCGACGGCCTGATGAGCATGCTGAAGAAGATATACTCTGAGGGAGATGACGAGATGAAGAGAACCATCAACAAAGCCTGGTCAGAGTCCCAGGAGAAGAAGAGCCGAGGAGAAGACATGATGGACCTCTAAACCGCACCCACAAGCAAAAATAAGTGAGATCTTCCCGGGCTGCAGTGGACATGACTTGAATGTTAAACGCTATAACTGACATCCCAATATATAAATCACACTTTCACAATATGTAGAATTTAGGTATACAGCTCATAAATAAGGTGACAGGATTAATGTTTAAGCCCTGGATGGCCTCTGCTGAGAAAACCGGGCTGCTAATAGTCATAAATCCTAAAGCTGTTGATAAATAAAATTGAAAAATTGTGTTAAAATACGAGTGCTGATCATCAGGCGGCAGCCTTAATGTAGCAAGAAGTCACACATATTCATCACTTGTTTTCTACCATAATGCAGCCATTTTCTTCCCAAGATGAATATCTTGTCAGTTGTACATGATTTCAACTAGACCAGGACAACTGAATTGAAGAATTGTTGACTTGATCTTCTAAGTTACTTGTTAATTGTCCTGTGCTGATTTGTTGTAGCTAAACTGGTGTTTTAAACTGATGTTGAAAATGTTTTCTTGTGAACATTTGCCTAAGCCACACTCACATTCCTTTAAATGAAGAAGACCAGTGGACATGTCAGTCTTCATATCAGCCTCTTGATTTTTTTTTGTCATTCTATAAATGGACCATGATGATCACGGCAAAGACTTTACCCATCATACAACAGCCCAGTGTAATAATCTATGTTACTGCATGGGTGTGTTCAGATTTTAATGTGCTTTACTCACTTGTGTTAAAATGTGTAAAACTCAGAACATTCATTTCAATTCTTTAATGGAAGTGCTTTTCTTACTATGATTTTTATGGTTGTACTTTTTTGTGATTTCTCTCCAATATTTGTGAATATGTACAAATTCACTTTTCAACTAAGTTGATATTTTGCTTTGGTTGTTCATGTCACAGTCTTATGTGTATTGTTGCCCGCCCTCAGGTTGTGCATGCAGTTCAGACAAATATAACTTTTGAACTGAGTCCTTGTTCCATTTGTCTTGTGATTTCGATGTCAGATTAGATTTGATTAGATTTATTTGGACTGTGCGACATATTTACTCTCAGGAAGCATTTGAATTTTGTGAAGCCTTCCACATTGGAAGTTTTGGTTTCAAGACTGTGTCCATGAGCTGAATCTTTACTCATTGTTAAATCTAAACTAAAAAGCCTAATTTCGTACTTAAATACATTTAACAATCCCAGATGCAATTTGACCAAGATTGTAACATGTAAGTGGTCAAAGACGACCATTTGTGATCCAGGTTAACTTTTATGGATGATGACTCGTCCTGTTGATAGAAACAGTCACAACACAATTGCATAAACTAGAATAGAATTATTTTTGTTGTCCACCAGGGGCAGCAGTGATCACGGGCTCAGGAGAGGTCCAATCAAAGTTTTATTGAAAAATGTGAACTTTTATTTTGTAGGGTTTCATAAGTTGGCATTTTCAGCTGTAGATTTACAAAATAAATGATAAAACTTACTGCAGTATATTTTATGATCTATAATCTGGAATTTGTCTCTCAAACAACTTTGATTAAACGTAAAGTTTGTATTAAAGATAACTGTAGTATTCCCAGTTAGTATGACTTCTCAGAATATCTTGCAAACATACCACATCTGGTCTGCTCAACTAATTAACTGAAATCAGTTCCTTACAATTCATTTGCAACTTACTGTATGTTTATCTTCTCCATTAACATGTGCCTTTCATGTTCTATAATTCATTTTAGTCACTGACTTCTTTCATGCTTCTGTGTATGTTCTTTGTTTTTAAATCGCTTTGCCGTGTTTTAGTATTTTTGTGTGTTATTTGTCCTGGCTTTTATTTGTATTTGAAACATTTTGCACCAGGTCTCTCTGGCAGAAAATATATTGCATCTCAAGTGGACCTTCCTGGTTAAATAAAGGATAAATAAACAGTAGTCTTTGTATTTTTCTTGACATGAACAACTGGAACAATGAAATAGTATGAACAATGATTAAAGAATAAGAATAATTCAGTAACAGACGAGGGTAGTTTTTTTTAAACCAGGGGCCATGATGTCCAACATCCACGCACATATCCTTATTCAGTAAGATGCAGTCATTCCTTGTTGAATGTTAGCTCTATAGCTTTGACCACATACCACTGAATATATTTTATAAACTGTTTCTTGCCCGAGCACATCCTGCACTTCAAAAAAGAGGTAAAAAAAACTATCAAATTGTCATTGTTGACTACTGACAGAGCAGGGGGCAATCATTTCAGCTGGGGCCAGCAGCCCCCCTGATCTCAAACCCTGGATCCGCCCCTGGAATAACGAAAGCAGAAGTTAGGAACTCTGTTTTTAAAATACATTTTTTTTTAAATAAAATGTTTTTCAGGAGTCTCATCAACCTGTCTGTGTGGACTTCAGCTGATCAGACAGTGTACAACCTGCTCCTGTCACAGCAGCAGCTCTCAGAGAATGAGCTGCATCAATATTGTTTCCTTTTTCTTTTCCCATGAGCTGTTTCATTCATATGTTTCCCTCACACTCCGGATAATGTTATGATTGGGATCGTGTCTGGACAAATCGTCTGGACTTTCTTCCACCGGTGTTGCGCCAGCCTCCCACCGCCCCCTTCTCCGTGACGTAGCCGCTCGCCTATATATCCGGACAGAGACGAGCCCTGACTCGTCAGATGGAGACAGTTGGAAGAGGCGGACACATCTTTACGCACACGACCAACTACTGAAACACGGGCGAAAAGGATATTTATTCATATTTAGGCCTGTGTACGAACTGACGGGTCGTTCCTTCCACCGCTGAGTTTAATGGATACCGGCTGTTTCAGCGCGGCGCAGCGTATTTCGTGCCACACCATGAATGCGGATTTATTTAAGCCTGCTCTGGAGCCTGGAGCCCCGCAGTCCTCTGCCCCGGTGAAAGCCAGCAGGAACAAGCCCGAGCAAACCAAACCGGAGCTGGCTCAGGTTGTGACAGACTCCAAGACGGGGAGGTCATACAGTAAAGGGAAGCTTCTGGGAAAGGTATGGAGTTTTAATTCACCCCCCCCCCCCGGTTGCCATCGGAATCTTTTTATCCAGATGGGTCTAGAGTGTGTCTGACTGAGTCGCAGTTTTTAGTTTGATGCTGAATCTGTCGATGCGCACAAATCATCGTGGGCTGTTTACCAGGTGCGTTACTTATTGCGGGAATAGGGGATGACCTCGTGGTGGATGTGGCCAATCTTCCCCACTGTGTGCGCGTCATTGCTGAATGAATCAGGCGCAAGGTGTGCCCGACTCCCCGAGCGCACACATGACCGGCAGCGTCTGACAAAACCAGCGGAGTTTTTTTTATCCACGTGTATTTCAATGACATGTATTTAAATGTCATGTGTGGCTTCTGTAAAACCATTAACGCATCCGTCTCACCGCGTCCTCTGCCGGGTAATGTTGTGTGTTTTGATACATGTATGAATGGAGAGGAGAGGCTGTGTGACCAACATGTTGCTCGTCATCCATACGCTGCGTCAGGCACACAGCCAAGTCTTTTCTCCACTCTCTCCTGCTGCCTGCCGCAGAGCTGGAAACGTCTCCGTCAATTTCACGGTTAATGAATGCAGCAGCCTGCTCTGCCTCATCCCTTCTGTCCTCGAGCACATCTTGATTACAACCTGGGAAATGATTGAACAAAAAGCAGTGAACATGAAAATGTGGGCTTGAGAACAGCAACATGCGTGTTTCATACCTTGGTTATGAAATGATCCACCTGACTTAGTTAACCCGTTTCTTGTATTGTTTAATTCTGGATTGCAGATTTCCTCACCTCACCCTTTACCTCCGCATCACATTTGGCCCAGTCATTCTTGGACCAAAGACTTGCCTTTAATGCAGCTTATTTATGGCCATTGCAGGTTTTCAACCTGCTGCATTTTAACTGATCGTTGCTTTTATCTCCCCCAAGGGTGGCTTTGCTCGATGCTACGAGATGACAGACCTTTCCACCAACAAAATGTATGCCGTGAAGGTGATTCCCCAGAGCAAGGTGTCCAAACCACACCAGAGGGACAAGGTACACGATCGTACTTGTTTGTTTGATCAGCGTGTCTTGTAGAAGAGAGCGCTGCATTATCTGACTTCAAAACATCTGGATGTGTCCGGGCTTGAAATAATGGGCCCCAGAAAACTGATCGGATGTCACTTTTTTTTTTTGACAGATTACGAATGAAATCGAGCTGCACAAAACCCTGTCACACAAGCATGTGGTGAAATTCTCTCATCATTTTGAAGACCAAGAAAACATCTACATATTCCTCGAGCTCTGCAGTCAGAAGGTGAGACCTCTATTCGCTTGTTTTGCATATACCTACAGTATACAACTTGCTTTGTATTGCTCTGCGGTGGTGCAATGGAAGCACAACAAGTGGTTTGCATATTTCAGAGTCAAATGACTATTGACATAGAGTCCCAGACACCCATCTGATTACCAGCAGCACCTCATTTCTGTGCTACTGTGGAGTGTGTGATGTGTGTTGCACAGTCCCACTGATGGATGTGGCGTTAACGGCTCAATCATTGCTTTGTCTCCATAGTCCCTCGCACACATTTGGAAGGCCAGACACACGCTCAAGGAGCCAGAAGTGCGATATTACCTCAGACAGATCATATCCGGCCTCAAGTACCTCCACAGCCGAGGCATCCTTCACAGAGACCTCAAACTAGGTATGTGAACAAACGACACTGGAAAACGCGGCGTGCACACGCACACACAGGCATGCCAGGAATCTGCTGTGACTTTGGGCAGGCGCACATGTTATCTGTGGAATGCTGACTGGACAAATGGTTTTGTCTCTTTTTAGGCAACTTCTTTGTCAATGAGAACATGGAACTGCGGCTGGGAGACTTTGGTCTCGCTGCCAAACTGGAGACAGTCGAACAGAGGAAAAAGTTAGTTAATTTTTTTATTTAAGTTTTTATTTAACGCAGTTTGCCACAAACTATTTATATTAAAACATTATTAATCGCTCTTGGAACAATTTCTTACTTTCTTACCCTTGTTTGATTTGTTGTTAAAAGCTGTGCTCACTGAGGGGTATCTATAGCCATATCTTGAACATGAGCCCTTTCTAGACTTGCATGATGCACAATGAGCTAAAACCATTACGTCAGTTACTAAGCACATTCTTCCTTCCACCTCTCACCCCCCCAGTAAGCACCTAAGTAAACCGGTTTCCAAGTGGCAGTTGAATGTAGCGCTCAGAGCAGAGTTTCACTTCCTGTTTGACACCTTCCTGTGGAATACCAGAAGCATTTCTGTGTCAGGGAAAAAAAATCTTCAACCTATGCTTCCTTGTCTGTATTAGACTGAAAATAAATTGGATGATTTGAGGTGTTAAATGTGTCCTGTGCTTGTTTGTTTTTTTTCTCAGAACAATTTGTGGTACTCCCAACTATTTGGCCCCTGAGGTGCTCAACAGACAGGGCCACGGCACTGAGTCTGATGTTTGGTCTCTTGGATGTGTCATGTGAGTTTATAATTTAGTTTTCCTTCTCTAATTTAACCTGGAGTCATTAGCTCTCTCCGGTCATGTGTAAATGACTAATGCCTATTTTGTAGCTGCTTTCTTTTTGGTTTATCTATCCTGCCTCGGTCAGAGAAATGAGGACGTGGAACTCGAGCAGCAAAGTCTTTTTTTTTTTTTTTTGTCAGAACCATTAAGTTTGTCTCTTTATTTGACTGATGGTTGCCTTGGTTTCCGCTGTTCAGGTACACGCTGATGTGTGGCAACCCTCCATTTGAGACTCTTGACCTGAAGGAGACGTACAAGTGTATAAAGGAAGTTCGGTACAACCTTCCTGCCACACTTTCCCCCGCCGCACAGAGACTCATCTCAAGCATCCTGCAGAAAAACCCCAGTGACAGACTCTCGCTTGATCAGATCCTCAACCACGAATTCTTCACCAAAGTACGTTGAAATAATTGTATAGGGAGTGGAATCATTTTGCT